TCAGCACTTTTGAAACAGGGCTGAAACAGAGGGGATTATGGGTAATGCTGCAATGATCTGTTTGGTGTTTCAGCCAATCAGAGACATGTTTTGTATCTGAGACCTATAATATATTGATGAAAAACAGTGTAATAGGGGACCTTTAAATATGAAATGTACTGCGTATGTTTATTTTTTTTAAGAAACAGTTGTTAAATGTCAGCTCTTGGATCAAATACTGTACATATAATGATGCGACACTGCCAAATTTGGTTGTGTTTCACAGCCAACCAGACCTTTTTCACATCAGATATTTTGACTTGTGAGAGCAGGGATAGCACAGGTGTCAGGTAATAACATTAATGATGGCTCTGCTCCATTTAGGAAACATGCCAGTCAGCAAGCATGACACGCCGAGGCCGTGGCACAGGCACTACAATTAATAGCCACTATTTATGCTATCAGCACACCTGGGTTTGACAAGTCAAAATGTCCGTAGGGAGAATGGCATTTGACTGGAAGTATGAAAAAACTCTGTGGGGAAACAATCAAATTGAGAAAGGGTGAATATATCATGTTTCAGTTAAATTTGAGACAAGAAATTGTACACAAATCTTTGTTTTTGACTAAAATTGTATGTTAACAAGGAAAGCAATAACACCTGAAGCTCCAATAATAATGTTTTATACTAACTTTTTTAACTTACTTTTAAAGTCTGGCAATAAATTAAATTGTTTTTGTTAACTTCAAAATGTAATAGCTGTAGAATAGTGACACCACTGACATTTAGATTGGTGACCTATAAGTGCCACGCTCACTAAGCAATTGTGTCTGCCTCGGGGTCCTGATTTGCATTTCACAATAAAATACCTAGACATAAACACTGCATTAATGCTTCCCAGAAAAAAATGTCCCAGCAGGGAACCTACTTCCTACAGAAGCTATCTCCAAGTAGCACAAAAACACTGAGGTCATGTGAAACTGTGAAAACTCAACCTGGCATAAGAGACATTTTGATTAAGAAGCCAAATGAGAACTAAATCTGCCTGAAATGAAGCCAGGTGTTGTCAGATAACGGACATTAGGATGAATGGTTAATGGGATTCTTGAGGTTGTTTCTTGAAAGCAGAAGCAATATTACTCACAATGTATGAAAAAGTTAATCCGTCTTGTTTAAGTGAAAATCAACAGACAGAAAATAGAGTAGGTGATCTTTGTTGAGCTGTGAAACAAATGCAGTGTGTCCTATGTTGTTGGTAGCTTAGAGGAACATTGAAAGTTTTCTAACAGTAGCATTAACAATAATGTCCCTTAGAAACATTACATGGGGAAACATGAATCAAAAATAAATGTCCAACCTTAAAATGATTGTAATGTATAATCTGGACTCATAACAAACCCACAGAAAAAGTCTATATTTAATTATCACTTATTACCTCGTTTATCTATTGTTTAACTTGCAATGTTGGTTATCAATTTGTATAAGATATAATGTATGTATCATCATTTTTGTCAACTCCTTTTTCAGCAGCAGACAGTTCTTTTTCAGCAAAACATATTTGATAATCATACTGTACATTAACTACTTAAAGATGAATGCAAACAGATAAACGATAGCTGGGAAACAATGTGAATATTGGGTATACTTTAATCAGGTGGACAGTGAAATGCCTCAAAATGAATTATTATGTCATCTTGCTTGTCACAAAAGCCGAGTAATTATATACTGTATGTTGTATATATATATATATTGGAGGTCTTCACCCAAAGAGGTGCATAGTGAGTTTTAAAACTGAAATAAAACTATCAAAGTACTTCTAAGGA